GAGACCCAAACCTTTCAACCTTAGCGCCCACATGGGGGTTTGCGAAAATAGGGGACCCTTAGTAGGATTCCCTTATAGCAAGGACCCCAATAAGGTACCCCGACTGTCGGAAATCCCCACATGCGCAAAGGCCCCCACTGCCCTTGGACCGTTGATCACTGGCTCTCCGGAGACTGCCTGTGACGATCTAAGGTAGTGAGGGTTTCAGTTGCAGGCTTTGCGTTTTTTCGTTCAGGAGTATAGGGATTTGGGGTTTTGGGTTTAGGGTTTGGGGCTTTACCGGTGTTGTGGTTAAAGGCCCTACCCACAAACTTGCCCAAACACCATAGCAGATACCCAGTTGGGGGGTATCTGCCTATAGCAATGGGGCACCATGAAAAGGGCAACTCTCCAACAAGTGAATTTGACATGACCCTGCTTCCAGGGCGGATAGGTTCGTTTGGGATTGGGTTTAGGGTTTAGGGTTTAGGGTTTAGGGTTTAGGGTTTAGGGTTTAGGGTTTAGGGTTTAGGGTTTAGGGATTAGGGTTTAGGGTTTAGGGTTTAGGGTTTAGGGTTTAGGGTTTAGGGTTTAGGGTGTAGAGCTTAGGGCTTAGGGCTTAGGGCTTAGGGTTTATTGTTTAGGGTTTACGGTTTAGGGTTTAGGGTGTACGGTTTAGGGTTTAGCGTTTGGGGTCCAGGTTTCAGGGTTTAGGGTGTAAGAACTCGAGAAGGTTGAACAGCTTTGGGGTTCGGGGCTGGCCAGGCCTCCAGTTGTTCGATGCCTTGGTCTCTACCCACGAGTCTGACGGACACCTTAAACAAATCCTAAACCCTAAGCCCTAAGCCCTAAGCCCTAAGCCCTAAGCCCTAAGCCCTAAGCCCTAAACCTTTCCACCCGAAACTCGAAACCCGTAAACCCGTCAAACCTAAACCCTAAGCGCTCAAAGCCCATAAGCCCCACTCATCAGGGGTTCCCCTACTACCGCCCTCTATACTACCGCCCCTAGGTTCTCTCCATTATGAAGGCTATTTAGGGATAAATAAGGTAAACCCTAAACCCTAAACCCTAAACCCTAAACCCTAAACCCTAAACCTTGGGCCAACCTTGGGGGGGGGGGGGGGGTAGTATAGAGGGGGGTAGTAGGGAAACCCATGAAATCATGTCACGACTCTCACGGTCCCTCTGCGCCTCCCCTCTTGGCAGCCGGGGCTGCCTGTGACTGGGGTTTAGGGTTTAGGGTTTAGGGTTTAGTGTTTAGGGGTTAGGGTTTAGGGTTTAGGGTTTAGGGTTTAGGTTTCAGGGCGGGCGGCACAGCACCCCAATCCCCAAGCCCTTATAGTGCCGAGACCCCAGGGAGGACCCGAAAAGTAGAACCCCAAATAGGGTTTAGGGTTTATAGGGTTTAGGGTTTATAGGGTTTCGGGTTTCGGGTTTAGGGTTTAGGGGGCCCCAGACCCCTGGTACTCTGAGCACTGACTCGTATGCCCAACATGTAGTGCACCCCTAAACCCTAAACCCTAAACCCTAAGCCCTAAACCCTAAACACCTGGTGGATCCTCTGAAGCCTGTAGAAGCTCAGAGCCCCCCCAAGTATCGTCAACTTCATCATCCTCAAGCTCTCGAAGTCCCGCGCACCGTAGGGACCCTCCGACCCCTCCTCAACTCCTCAACTCGGGTTTAGGGTTTAGGGTTTAGGGTTTAGGGTTTAGGGTTTAGGGTTTAGGGTTTAGGGTTTAGGGTTTAGGTCATAGTCAAAGAAAGGGAGAGCAAGAGATAGACAAGAGAGAAGCGACGAGACGAGAGGAGACGAATAGTTTAGCTGTCATGCTTTAGGGTTTGCGGGCTTTGGTGTTTTAGGTTAAGCTAGTAGTTTAGGGATAAAGGTTCGAAAGGGCATTGATCATAGAAAGGGTAGAGCGAGTGGGATGGAGAGCAACCCACAAACCCTTGTACCCATAACCTGGAAGCCCCTGTTCCAATAACTCCAAACCCTAAACCCTAAACTCTAAACCATAAACCCTAATTTAGTTTAAGACTAATAAGGGCTTGTAGGGATCAGTGTTTTGGAAACCCTGACCCTATAAACCCTGACTACGTACAGTACCCTAGAACCTAAAACCTACAGAGGTTAGAGTCCCCAACGATTTTGGGAAAGGTGTGCGGACTCGGGGCATCCGGCGTTTCAGCGACTCTTGTACATTCTTTGGTCATACGTACTTCGCGCTCGCAAGTCAACAGTGCGGGCCTGCGTGCGGGCACCGTGATGGAAAGCCATCTCCCTCTCCCTCTCCACTGGAATTCTAAACCCTTACGCCCTGAACCTCAAGTTCTCTGGGAAGTTATAAAATTGAGAGTCGCAGCTTCTCCGTTTAAACCCTAAACGCTCCATGTTTTCGCCGGGGCAGGTGGGGGGCTTAGGTCCCGCCGAGGGGTCCTATAGGGTTTCTGGGTGGTTGGGCTTCTAGGGTTCCTGGGTGTTAGGGTTGTTAAGGTCCGGATCCTGTGGGTGCTTTTGCTCCAAGTGGCGACGGTGTAGGGCCTAGGGCCTAGGGCTTTTGAGTGGCAAAAGGAGCTTGTGGCGGGTCTATAAACCGCCTGAAGCCCTAAACCCTAAACCCTCAACCCAACCTCAGTTGTTCTACGGCAGCATACATCGAGTTGGCAGGCTGAGGCGGCGCGAGGCTATTTGGGGTCTTGGGATGCTTTACTAGGGTTTAGGGTTTAGGGTTTAGGGGTCCGAAGCTAGGTCCATCACTCAGGCCCAAGGTTACCCAAAGGTAACCCTGTGCCCAAACTGATATCCTACGAACCAGCTCACTGTTTAGAGCTTAGGGCCTACTAGGGTTCAGGGTCTAGGGTTCAGGGTTCAGGGTGCAGGCTGTAGGGTACATCGCCGAGGGCCTTGTGGCATGTGAGTGACACTAGAAAGATCCTCAGACACCCCTTCTAGACCCAGGAGTAACCTAGAATAAAAAGGGCGCCCTTGTGGTTTTAAGGGGATTGTAAGGGAACCTAAACCCTAAAACAAGAAAACAAGGGCCTACTCTGGCCCCTTGCCTCAACATGCTCAACACAAGCCCAGCTAGACGGTCATAGGGTTCGGGTCTAAGGGATTTAAAGGGTTAGCGCGGTTACGCAGACCCCTGGGAGGATCCAAAAAGTAGACCCTATGGTTCCCTGACCTAAACCCCAAACCCGAAACCCTAAAGCCTAAACCCTAAACCCTAGGGTCTGGGTAGGGGTGTTGAGATTCCAAAACCCCAGAACCCGAAACACTGAAGCCTAAACCCCCAACCCCTAAAGCCTAAACCCTAAACCCTAAACTCCAGGGTCTGCTTAGGGGTTTTGAGATTCAAGGTTTGGAGGCACTCAGCGGAAAACCCTTTATGACACGTAAGAGCCCTCCGACAACTGAGGCACCCAAAAACCCTGGATCCCAAACCCTCCAGGAAAGGCAAATCCCCAACCCTTCAACCCTAACCCCTCAGCCTTAAACTCTATACCCTGGCCCTAAACCCCTAAACCCCTAAACCCCTAAACCCCTAAACCCCTAAACCCCTAAGCCCTAAGCCCTAAGCCCTAAGCCCAAAACCCTAAGCCCTAAACCCTAAGCCCTAAGCCCTAAGCCCTATGCCCTAAACCCTAAACCCTAAACCCTAAACCCTAAACCCTAAACCCTAAACCCTAAACCCTAAACCTCCATCACCACTGCCTTGCTTTTAAAATCCACGGGCCGAAAGCTGCCATTCAATCCTCGGATGCCGAGGCGCCCATCTCCACCTCAGTAAGAGCGGCTTTCGGGGCTTGTTGGGGTTTAGGGTTTAGGGTTTAGGGTTTAGGGTTTAGGGTTTAGGGTTTAGGGTTTAGGGTTTAGGGTTTAGGGTTGAGGGTTGAGGGTTTAGGGTTTTAAGTTTAGGTTCTGGAGCCCGATTGGTCTCGGAAAACATGCAGGAAGAAACCTCAAAGCTTCGCTAAGTACACCCGAAAGGTCGCCTGCCAGGTTCCTTTTTTGAATGCTCCCCCTAGAACCTGATTAAAAAAAAAAAAAAAAACAGCATTTTGGCATTCCCTTGGTTTGGTGATAAAAAAATTTTAAAGTAGTAATATCTCCTAAGGGGGGTGCAGCTTTGTATTGGGGATGAAAGGGCTTTGTTTGGCGTCTTGGGCCGCTTTACCCAGCAGCCGAATGGGGCTCTCCTGCTGCCAACAACAATCCCTGAGACGCCATGCTTGACAGTGTGAAAAGAGGCTTGAGGGTTTAGAGTTCGGGTTTAGGGTTTAGAGTTAGGGTTTAGGGTTTAGGGTTGATGGTTGATGGTTGAGGGTTGAGGGTTGAGGGTTGAGGGTTGAGGGTTGAGGGTGAGTAGGGTTTCAGAACGATCCAGCAATCGGGAAAACTAACAGGAGCATGTTTGGTGCCCCAACACCTAAGTACGACACCCAAAGAGCCAAAAATCATTAAAGGGCACCATCCCTGAGCATGTTTGCGAAGAAGAGCTGCCTTGTTGACATGTCATGCGCAAAGCCAGCGCTCGCGAGACATGGTCGATCTTTAGGGTAGGGCCCCTTCATTGGGGGACTTTTGTAAGCCCCTCCTTTGCCCTCTGAACCCCAAAGCGCCCAGAGCCCTTACAAGGAGGGGCACCCTTACCATACTTACTATAGTTCAGGGACTTAGAACCTTAAGTCAGGATCCTCTGAACCCAATTCAAGGTCCTTATAACTCTGCCTAAAACTAGGGGGGGGGGGGGCCTTCTTGTAGAGTCTGCGACCACTCGACACTCGACGTCCGAACTGCCAGACCCACAACCTTCTAAACATTTTATATTAACAGATAAGTATGTCTCTATGTATATATACATATATGTATACATGGTCGACATCTATGATCCATAGTATACATATATATATATATATATGTATATACACCTGTGTTAATAGTCATTACTAGGAGTCTCTGGGACAAAAGGATTCTTCACCCCAAGCGCTCCCTGCCCGATTTTTTTTTTCACGCGTCCTCAGCTGCCCTTCGCTTTGTCGGGCTCAGCCAAACCCCGCAGGTCTCGTAGTCCTACCTCCCCAATCTTCATGGACTGTCCTGGCGCTCAGCCCTAAACCCTAAACCCTAAACCCTAAACGCTAAACCGTTTAGGGTTTCTTAGGGTCTCGTAGTCCTACCTCCCCAATCTTCATGGACTGTCCTGGCGTTCAGGCTCGGGTTGTGTGTTTAAGGTTTTGCGACTCCCAAGTGGTATCAGTATATTAATATTTGTATATGTATATGTATGTATGTATGTATATATACATGTATGTATACTGCGCCGGGCCAATAGTTCGACCCACCGACATCTAGGGGTCCTGACACCTGTGCCCCGCCCTCTTCCGGAGCTTCTATAGTACTATATGTTTAAAACGGGGTATTAATTTCTCCGCTAGCAGGCATAGGGAAAACGCTACTTCTCGGCACTCCGCTACTCCGCGGGAGCCTTCGCTGTCTGCGTACCATCCAACATGTGCCGTGGGTCGAAACTTTCGGCCCGGGGGTGTAGGTACACTGCCCGAATCCCTACTACGTAAATAAGGTACACTTCGTGTAGGGCTTAAGGTCAAGGTTGCTGCAGAAACTATGACTGGGTTTTAGCATGGATCACATCCAGCCAGATAAGAAAACTCAGCTCCCAAATCCCAAACTCCCTATGGCAAGCAATACTCAGACGGAAATGCGCACAACCCTCAACCCATCTCAACCCTGTATATACATGCCCCCTAAACTCAACCCCTCCCCACTCAACCACCCCCCTCCCCCCTCCCCCCTCCCCCCCTCCCCCTCCCCCTTCAACCCCTCAGCCTCAAGCCCCTCAAACCCCTCAACACCGTCAACCCCATCCCCCACCAGCCACCCTCCCCACCCCCGCCCCCCCCCTGCACCTACATACCAGGCGAGCACCCACAAGAAGGGTGCCAGCAGCGAAATCGGAAGCCTTTGGCACACGAACTGCGCATCGGGGGTTGAACCATGCTGCAGGGTTTAGGGTTTAGGGTTTAGGGGTTAGGGTTTAGTCGATTAAGGGTTTACGGGGGTTCAGGGGGTTAGGGATTCGGGGTTCGGGGTTCGGGGTGTAGGGCTTATAGGGCCGTAAGCTCTGAACTACTAACAACCCTGCCATCGAACCCCAAACCCAGATACTTAGACCGATCTCTCTCAAGCCTTGCACAGGGTGCATTAAGGTAAAACCCTAAAACCCCCAAACCCGCAAACCCGCAACCCAAAATCGCAAGATCTGCTGGACATCCCACCAACTTCCCTGTTCAACAGGAGTCTTCAGTCTAAGGGTCGCAGATGCCGAGTTGCACAACCGTTTTTGGACCACACATGGTGTTTATCGGTGTTTCAGGCCTCTGTTTGCGGGGCTTCGGGGCTTTGGGTACCTGCTCTTTCTGCACAGACATATGCAAACAAACTCGACAAGCCATCGGTACGCAACCACCAGAAGATCTGTCAGTACAAGGGGGAGCATCCCAATGTAGGGCTGCAGCACCCCTAAACCCTAAACCTTAAACACGAAACCCTAAACCCTAAACCCTAAACCCTAAACCCTAAACCCTAAACCCTAAACCCTAAACCCTAAACCCTAAACCCTAAACCCTAAACCCTAAACCCTAACCCTATAAACCCTAGACCCTAAACCCCAAACCCTAAACCCTAAACCCCTTCAAGAAGCCTTCTCAAGCCAAGGCGCAGCAAAGCCAGAGACTCAGCAGCTGCCAGAGCCGCCCAGAACCAGAGGCCTCGGGCTTTTGGGGTTTAGGGTTTAGGGCTAGGGTTTAGGGTTTAGGGTTTGGGGTTTAGGGTTTAGGGTTTGGGGTTTGGGGTTTGGGGTTTGGGGTTTGGGGTTTGGGGTTTGGGGGTTTGGGGTTTGGGGTTTGGGGTTTGGGGTTTTGGATTTGGGGTTTGGGGTTTAGGGTTTGGGGTTTAGGGCTTGGGGTTTGGGGTTTGGGGTTTAGGGCTTGGGGTTTGGGGTTTAGGGCTTAGGGTTGAGGGTTGAGGGTTTGGGGCAGGGGGGCTTAAGGTTGTCGGCGGCTTTTCAGGTGTCGGGGTATAGTACGAATGTGGGTTTTGCTTTGGGTTTTGGGGGGGTTAGGCGAGGCGTTTGGGGCTTTAGGGGCTTACAGACCCTTGGGCTTGGCTTTGGGGGGGGGGGGGGGGTGCGCGTTAAAAGGGGAAGGGGGTGATCAGGAACTTTGCTCAGGCGTTTAGGGGGAGGGTTTAGGGTCTAGGGTTTAGGGTTTAGGGTTTAGGCTTTAGGGTTGTGTCCGATGTCCTGCCTCACTATCACTTGCATGGCAGGGCCGGGCAGCTCGCCAATGGTTTCAGCTAGGCGAGTCGGCCACGTCCCTTGCAGAGTCTGTAAACGCCCCTCGTCCAGAGATGGTCTTTGCAGGGGGCAGCGCCCTTCCTCTATGCTCTGGATGCTCATGGACGGGCTCAGAAGATACAGAGCAGCCAGGGCAGTCCGAAAGCCCCAGGTTTAGGGTTTAGGGTTTAGGGCTTATAAATTAGGGTTTAGTGTTTAGGGTTTAGGGTTTAAGGCATACCGAGCTGGAAGCCCAACACGGAGGACGTAGCCTCTGAAGCGCGAGTTCTTTCAATGGGAGACTGCAGCACATGCCGGAACACTCATACAAGGAGGGGCCCCCTAGCTATAAGTAGAGTTATAAGACCCCTAGATTGGGTTATAAGGATGCCCCTCCTTGTAATATACTTAAATTAGCCGATTGTATCCTTCACGCTTAGACGCCGGCAGGTTTAGGGTTTAGGGTGGGGGTTGGCTTTACAAATTTCGGGCTGGGGAAAACTCGGCAGACTGCAAAAGGCTCCAGGATGTACGAGCTCAGTGCTTCACGGTACATCGGGGCTCACATAAGTTTGGGTTTAGGGATTGGGGTCTAGGGTTTAGGGTTAAGGGTGGGTTTGGGGTTTAGGGTTTAGGGTTTAGGGTTCAGGGTTTAGGGTTTAGAGTTTAGGGTTTAGGAAGGGAGCAAACTTACTGGGCTGACAACGACCGAAAGAAACAGCTCGAAGCTGGCGAATCAGCTTGGAACCTCCACCCCCCAAGCATGCCATACAGTCTTGCTAGCCTTAAGGTCGAAACCCTAAACCCGAAGGGTTTAGGGTTCTAGGGTTTTAGGGTTTACTGTTTAGAGGGTTAGGGTTTAGGGTTTTCGGCTTTAGGCTTTAGCCTTTGAACCCTAAACACCAACGCAGAGCAATTGGTCTCGGGCCAACGTGCGCCACGGAAACCCCAAGCGCAAGCGGCAGTGGGGCACCTCGTTTGGGGACTTCGGAAATAGGGGTACCTCTTACACACCCCAACTTACAATAGAATCCTTTTTAAAGAAACCCTACCCCTATTTTTGGAAACCCCTATGTCTTTAATTTAAAGGAGACGATTGGGGCTTAGGGTGCTGGGTAGGGACCCAAAGGAACACAACCCGTGTGAAAGGGCCAAGCAAGCCTTAAGTGGTTCTAAGCAGGTCCGAAAGATCTCTTGCGTATGATGACGGATCAAAGCTACCCCAAACCCCAAACCCCAAACCCTAAACCCTAACACCTAATGGGTCGAGTTGCCCTAAGCCCCTAAGCCCTAAACCTTAAACCCGAGTAGCATAGGGTACTATTTCGGGGTTCTGCTTTTTGGATCCTCCCACCTGGGTAGCTGCGGGCTGCGAGGCTGGTACCTTTAAAGCTGGAAATAAAGACGGAAGGTGTCAGGTCCCAAGTGTGGTGGCCTTGCGTGTGGGTAAGTGGATTGAATTGCGGAGCCCATGGGTCGAGTCTAAGCCCCCACGAAAAACCCCAGCTAGCTCGCACCCTGCGTCCGCAAACGACGCCAAAAAGCCTAAACCCAACATTTGCAGCACCATTCAGGTCCCGGAATCAACTTTAGCTGTGAGTAGGAAGTCGCAGAAACCCTTCACCCTAAACCCTAAACCCTAAACCCTGAACCCTGAACCCTAAGCCCTAAACCCTAAACCCTAAACCCTAAACCCTAGCTGCGACTCAGCGTCGGCTGCCCAGAAGCATGGCCAGAAGACAGCAGAGGGCGCCCTCTGCTGGCAGGAGCCTGTGGGTTTAGGGTTTAGGGTTTAGGGTTTCGGGTTTCGGGTTTAGGGTTTAGGCCCGGAGGTTCACCCAAAGCGCACCACACCCTAAACCCTGAACCCGAGGCCCTAAATCCCTCAACCCTAGACCCTGAACTCAAATCTGCCCGATGGCTCGCAAACTCTAGACCCCGAAGCAGGCTGATAATGTACTACAGGAACCTAGACATTTCTACTGGGATTTATAGGGTTTAGGGGTACCGAGTATTTTCCTTCTACAGAATGTGCAATGCAAACTGCTTGGACTTGGAGCAAGACTGGAAAAACAAGACAGGGCCCTACACGCCAAACCCTAAACCCTAAACCCTAAACCCTAAACCCGAGCTGCATGACACCAGGACTGCAGGGATGATCCTTCACTGCTTGGACACTTCATAGCCCAGTAGCCATATTCTAATACCTAGCTGTCCCGTACCTATGGGGAACTAAAGGTTAACCTTTGGGACTCCAAGGGGATTATGTTACCCCAAAAAGGTTAAAGGCTATCTACCCTACTAGTGAGAATAAGGGCACTTGTTTGAAGCAAAAGGAGAGAAAAGGGTACCACTGGGCTACCAAGGAAACATCTGAAACATGGTTTTGGGGCTGGTGATATTTTAGAGATAGAATAGGTCAGAATCAGAAATTAAGCTTTTGATTTGATACACGGTAGCTTGATTAGTCCCGTTGCCGTTGCATGAGCTAAAGCAAGACATACTTATGAGAGGATTACCGCGATGTTGCCCGAGATCCTTAATTCATGCCCGTAATACCTAAACCATGCCCCCCTCCCCCCTTCGCTTCCCAAAAAAGCCGACAATTTTTGAGCCCTAAACCCTAAACCCAAAATCCTAAACCCTAAGCCCGAAACCCCCGCAACCAACGTCAGAATCGCGGAGGGCACACCTCACTGGCGAGTTGGCTGGCGCCAGGGCCAAGGGGTTCGACACAAAGGGCGTCAGGAGCAACGCCAGCCTTACTCTTCCATGGGTTATATATAATCGCGAGATATCCTATAAAACCCTTTACGGGGTGAAGAACGTGACTAAGTTCGTACTTCGTACGCAGCCTTCGGCAGATGGCTGCAAGCGGTCTGGTCTAGTTGGTTGGTGAGAAAAGGTGAGAAAGTGCTGACAAGGGCTCCAAAAAGTTTAGGCTTGGGGGCTCATAAAGTCTGGAATCCAGAGGGCTGAGGCGGAGTTGGGGGGGAGGGGGGGGGTCTAATGCCCGAAAGATCGCTTGTACAAGGGGCAGTGCCCCAGGGGGCACGGGTTGCTTTGAATTTGGGTCCTTTCCTGGAGGAGCCCTGAAACTTGTGAGGCGCTTGAAGCTGCACCCGAAATCCCGAAGGCCCTAAACCCTAAAACCCTACACTCCCAAAGCCCTAAACCACCGCCTAAACTGCAACCCGGGCAGCAATGGAGAGTCCTTCGGGTCCGCATGCACGTCCGGGGCGATCAAGTAGAGCACATGCAGGAAGATCAGCATCGATGCCAAACTCCTGCAGGGGGTTTAGGGTTTTAGGATTTAGGGTTTAGGGGCCCGTGAGAAACCTTTTTACAGTTTCGGGGGTTTAGGATTTAGGGATCAGAAGTCCCTGACTTTTGAACTGCAAGCCTTCTAAGACCGTAAGCCCCCATGGCCCAAGCACTCAACCGAAACCTAAACCCAAAGAGCCCCTGGCTCTTAGTAGGGGAATGAGGGACTGAAGGCCCTACATAATCCCTTAAAGGGTATCAAACCCTAAACCCTAAACCCTACTCTGGGTTCTAGTAGCCCTAAACCCTAAACCCTAAACCCTAAACCCTAAACCCTAAACCCTAACCCCTCATAAGCTGGTCCCAAAGACCGGTTGAGCTACCGGCATCCGTCCTGAAGCATACGCGCCACCTGGGCTTGTAGCAAACCAGCTAGCTCACAAAACAGGTTACGGCGTATGGGCGGGTTTAAGACAGTCAAGGGCTAACCGTACACACTGAATCCAACACTCTGGCCTATTCTGTGTTTAGGGTGCTTTGGGGTCTCTAGTGCTTCAGGATTAGGGTTTAGGGTTTAGGTTTAGGGTTTATAGGGTTTAGGGTTGAGGGTTGAGGGTTTAGGGTTTAGGGTTTAGGGGTACATCACTTGAAGATCCTAGACTGGCGAACTGAAACTATCATGTTTTCAGGGCTTTGGGCGTTGAGGTGTAGGCAGGGTTTAGGGTTTTCGGTGGAGTGCAATGTTTGGGATTCATGGCTTCACTTGTTGCAAACTTTAAACCCCTTTATTCTGGCCCTAAACCCTATATTACCAGGCTGCCCAGTAACCAAGGCTTGAAAAGGGTGCCCTTTTTTGCTTAAAGGGGTTCATAAGGGAACCTAAACCCCCCCAAAAAGGGAATAAGGGTACTACTGGGAATCCTAGGTAAACCATAAACCCTAAGCAATATTTTTGGAGCCCTTGTTCAGAAGGATTACGTTTCTACTTCTGACTACGGGCCTCCTGTCTGCGCGCTGTTGGCCAGAAATGGGGGCCACAGGGCTTAGGGTTTAGGGTTTAGGGGCTAGGGTTATGCTTGGACGTCCAAATCCGAAATTCAACATCCTGGAGCCGAACAGTTGCCTTAAGCCCTATAAAACCTACACCCCAACTTGATGGGCGGCAAGCTTTAGATTTTGGATTTTAGGGTTAGGCAGAAGGTTGAGGGTTTAGGGTTTAGGGTTGCGGGTTTAGGATTTTGACGAAGAAGCGTTTCTTCGGTCAGACAACTCTCGGAAGAACAATTCGTCTAGTTCCAAACCCTCTTTGTGGTCAAGGTACAACCTTCGCCCTAAACCCTAAACCCTAAACCCGAAACCCTAAACCCTAAACCCTAAACGGCTTAAGGCATGAACTACGCCATGTCGTGAGGCATCCAAGCGGCTGCCACTGGTAGGTCTCCACGCACCTCCAGGGAGTTAGTATAGGGTTTAGGGTTTAGGGTTTAGGTTTTAGGGTTTAGGGTTTAGGGTTTAGGGTTTAGGGTTTGGGGTTTGGGGTTTAGGGTTTAGGGTTCCTTCTTGATTGCAAGGGTTGAAGGGGAAACCCCGCCCTTAGAACAAAACAAGGGTACCAGTGCGCATTCTTCGGGGGAATGTGCGCTGGGTGGTGGCTGGAGCAAGGCTGGGTTAGAGCTGCAGGAGAAGGATCAAAGAACCCTGAACCCCGAAACACCTATCCCGAAACCCCGAAAACCCTCAACCCTAAACCCTGCACCCGGTAAAGCCCGACACCCCTAAACCCCTACACCCCAAACCTAAATTGTAAACCCTAAACCCTCAACCCTAAACCTGCCCTAAACCCTAAACCCGAAACCCTAAACCCCCTAAACCCCCTAAACCCCCTAAACCCCCTAAACCCCCTAAACCCCCTAAACCCCCTAAACCCCCTAAAACCCTAAACCCCCTAAACCCTAAACCCCCTAAGCCCTATAACCCCGCTAAACCCGAAGCCGGAGTCCAAGGCCAGAAGCCGCCAATAAGCCGACGTCAACAGCGCACGAACAAGATGCAGCGAGGACCGCCGAACTCTAAACACACAAACAGGAAGCTTTCCCTAAACCCTAAACCCTAAACCCTGAACCCCAAACCCTGAACCCTAAACCTGAACCCTCAACCCTAGACACTCGAACAACTGGAAACTGCACCAGGGCTTAGATCGTTTCTGTTTAGGGCTGATAGGGTTTAGGGTTTAGTTTTGCGGGTTTAGGGTTTAGGTTTATGATTCAACGACTAAGGCTTGGGAAACGCCGCACCTTTCCAATTGCGCCACGGCTGCCTCATGGCCGCCCTCGTCCGCGATCGTTAGCTCCTGTTCGGAGTAGGGTTTGGGCTTACCAAGTGAATAACTACCATATTCTTCCCTTATAAGGGTAATATAGGGATGACTCTCTTTGATCTTTTAATGGGTTCTTATGCAAATAGTAGATAAGTGACACATTTCTTGTAACTCGGGGATTTATGCATGGGACATGACGAGCTGTAGGCTCGCTGACACGGCTCCAGACCTCTTATCTGGGGTAGGTTTGGGAGCCTACGAAAATTAGGTTCTTATGGCTTTACAGGATTGTATAGGGGATTAAGGCTTTAAACCAAGAATATGTTCAAAACTACCCCTGCTTCGTCGAGTCACAGCTGAAAGTTTGTAAAGAACTCCTCAGCACTTTGCATGCTCGGCCTCTGTAGTCTCATGATCTCATGAGGGGATCTTCTGCTTCTTATGAAAAGTCGTCGACTGCATCCACACAAACGTTTGGTGATGTCTCTAAATGTTTGGGTCCCTGTTGGGGTCCTTATCACAAGGCCGCCCCTCTTATTTAGGGTTTAGGGTTTCCCTAAACCCTAAACCCTAAACCCTAAACCCTAAACCCTAAACCCTAAACCCTAAACCCTAAACCCTAAACCCTAAACCCTAAACCCTAAACCCTAAACCCTGTTTATACAAACGGTGTAGGGCGTTCGGCCTGGGGGGTTCGATTCGCCCTCCTTCCTCCAGTCCCCAACGCATCTGAAGGCTGGCGACTGTCGGAGGCCCCTGCAAGGGTTTAGGGTTTAGGGTTTAGGGTTTAGGGTTTAGGGTTTAGGGTTTAGGGTTTAGGGTTTAGGGTTCAGGGTTCAGGGTTTAGTTGACCCCTGCGACACTCAGCCCCTAAGCCTAAGCCTCTGGAGCATTGGCGTTTGTGAGTATTCCCCCGAAAATCGTGGTAAATAGGGTAAACTTAGCCTAGACTCCCCTAAATACTAAGCCGAACGCCCTGAACCCTGAACCCAACACCCTCGGCTGCCCTAAACTGCACACCCTGACCCCTAAACCCAAGACCCTAGACCCAAAACCCTACACCCTCAACCCCAAACCCTCCTACACCCTAAACCCCAAACCCTAAACCCGACAATTGCTTTACCGCTCCCCAAGCAACCGCCATTAAAGCAAGTAGTGCTGTCGCTCTCTGTTCTTGTTTTCAATCAGTTGGTCGTAAGGTCGCTCTTCTTGCTAATCGGATCGGAGATGATCCGAAAACTCAAGAGGGCCGGGATCACACCCACCTGACCTTGCGGCTACTGACCAGAGACGACTCCCATCCTGCTGTGGCGGTCAGGGCGCAAACTCAGGAACTCTCCAAGGACGACGAGTACGATGACTCTGAAGACACCGACGCGGAACTCGCAGACGAGTTTGTCCGACGCGCCGAGGGAAAACATCTCTTGCACCTCCTGCCCTCGCAATCATTGCTAACCCAGCGAAAAAGGGTATGGTCCCTGGCGAAAGGCCATGAACAGTAGGCCTTCCAGTGCCTTGGGTGCAAAGCATTACTGGGAACCGAGAAGTCGGTTCGGCACCGATGTATCTTTCCTCCAGGTGAGAGATTCAAAATGAGCCTTTCGGAGCTGTCATGGGGCACAGATGGCGGCGGCGGCGCTTCCGTTCCAATCAGCTCATCACACCAGTCGGCATCCGGGATAGCTAAGGAAGGTCTAGCCTTCCGGAGAAGTGCCTCCAGCTCACGACGTGCTCTGGCAAGTGAGTCCTTGTGGCCCGCTTCGATTGCCAGCTCTGACAGCTGCGACATCTGACGTATCTGAGGATGACATCTGAGCCCCACCGCCCCACAATTTGGATTCTCCAAAGCTCGACCCCTCGAGCGGCCAAGTACTGTGCCCCCGTTGCACGTGCCGAATGACCGGTGAAGGCTCGGGCGCCATTGGCCAAGAAACGGGGACGCCAAGAGCGCGCGCGGTGTCAGCCCAGCCCGCCTTCGAGGGCGGCGCCCCGTTGATGTCAACGAAAACGGGCTCCAAGGGACCGCGGCTGCCCACCAAACGAAGAACGGAATGGTAAGGGCAGAGCTGGGGACTCAGCACTTCACAGGAACAGGCGTGCTTTCGAGTCGCCCCCAAAGCCGCGACGTCTGTTTTAGACGAAGGCAAGAGCCAGGCTACCGTCTTGGACTCATGGTCGAAAGTAAGATGCTGGATTCGGGCATGTGAGGCCTCGATTTCGCGAAGGAGCCACCACGATGCTACAATGGTGGCTGTCCCTGGGTCGCGGGGACCGTTGGTGACCATAGCCTCGTCCCTAGTAACGGTCGGGACTTTGTCCATTGGAAGCGCCGAGGCCTGTTTGGACGGCCCCAGGGCGCGCTTGCACGACCGGGAACACACTCGATACGCGAGCGCCAGCTGTTCGCTCCAGGCGTGCCCCCGATGGATGTGTTCCTGCTTCGCAAGATCCAGATACTGCATTGCAGACCGGTACCCGGCGGCTTTAAAGGCGCCCATAACGGAATATATGCCATCAGGCGTGAGCCGAAATGGTTCGAGTCTGGCTCGCTTTGAAACATCGCACCAAAGTTTGAGCCTTGACTCTACCGGGCCTACGGATGTCACCGACCTGGAATCGGCTAGGAGAAGTTCCTTACACTGCTCGGGGTGGCTTGCCGCTTCAAAAAGCTTTGCAGAGCTACCCCTACAGTTTGGAACCGGTTCCCCCCGCCTATTCCGTTGTCTCTTTCTCTCTTCTTCTATGACTACGCTACCTGCCCCTGACCCGTCCGGCTGCCTGACATCTTCCACAGGCCGCCCGAGAGCAGGACCTTCGTGTAGGACGCCGGCTCGCCTGGGGTTCGGTGGAGGCACGGGGGGGTTTTCACTAGCACTAGGCCAGAACGCTTGCCCAAGCCTCCTCTTTGGTCTGGGCATCGCAACTTTGAGCCTGCAGACATGGCAAGTACATAGAACTGCTCGACGAGTGAGAGTGAGAGAGTGAGAGAAGTGAAAGAGCGAAGTGTGCGCATGACAGCAACGGCGCATGTGCGCACATACTAATGGGAGCGTGTCTTTTCAGACCACCTTCCAGGAGTCGCCGCCCAGCTTCGCCTCACAGCGAGGGGTGGCTAGCAGCTCCGACGGGAATGGCTTTCGTTCTGGAGCGCTCAACCTCGAGAGTGCGTCCGCCTGTACATTGGACACACCCGCGATGTGGACCAGCCCCCTTATTTGGTAGCATCGGGTGGCCTGGTCAAAAGCAAACTCCCGCGCCAGCACGTTCAGGGCCGGTGACTTAGCGCTTCCCTTGGACAATGCCATCAGGAAGCCTAGGTTGTCCGACTTCGCCCGAAACACCGAGCCGTGGGTGAGTGCCGGTAACCACAGTCTGAAAGCTACCAAAAGGGCGAGGCCTTCCCATAGGGTGTTGTAGCTTGACACCCCCCTTTCCGCTGAAAATTTGGCGAGGATGTCGTCCGGGAGATGGCTGTGGAAGTATGCCAGCGGCTCTCCATTTCGTCGGCACACTCCACCGATGCCCCATGGCGAGGCATCTGTCACCAGCTCCAAGTCAGTGGCCGGCGGGTTGGCGTAGAAGATCCTCTCTACTGTCTCGGTGCCAGACAGCAACGCCTTTACCCAACGAAGTGCCGGGCTGACCCTTCTAACATGAATCAACTTTCTGGTTCGAGTGTAAGGTGAACCATCACTCGTGATATCATGCTTCGAAAGGGCTGCCCAGAACGTCGCCAGGAACGGCCGAAGGTGTGGCACCAGACCAGCCACAAATGAGAGTGCCCCGGCGTATGATCGAAGTTCCTTAGCTCCAATCACGGCCCTACCTAAGTGCTTCTCGGTCTCCGCCAGGAGTTGCGCGACCTTGGCCTTGGGTATGGTCACCACGACGGCCTTCTCCTCGTCCCTGCAGGATATGCTTGCGCCGACCCACTCGACGCGCTTGCCCCCGGTGGCTTTTGAGAGCTTGACGGGGAAGCCAGCGACGGCGGTCCATAGGAGAACTACGGCCAAGTCCGCGGCGGCGGTCTCGAGGTCGGGGCCCTCCAAGGTATACACCGGGTCGTCTACAGAGACCTGGGGATCGGCCAAGGACACAGCGGCTGTGGTGCGACCAAGCCAAGCTGCCATCCGGCCCCATATTGTTGGCGAGGATCTGAGCCGAAGACGAGGGTGTTGAAGACGATGAGGTCGTGGCCGGCTCTCTTGTTTCGCCTTCTCGGCACCGCTGCCACGGTGAACTTCCTGTCCTTGCCTGCTGGTATGTTCATGAAGGCGTCCCGTATGTCGACGCCGGCCAGGTAGGGACTGCGGCCGCGCTTATAAGCTGCCAGGAGCGAGGCCACGACGTCGAGTAGACGCGGTAAGATGATCCGCTCCCCCTGGTTGCAGGCCTTGTTGACGTTTGACTCCTTCAAGTCCCATATCACCCTGGCCTTCTTCACTTCCCGGCCTTGCGCGTCCCGCTTGTTCTTGACGAGGACGCCAAGCTTGTTAAGGACAGGTTCGTCACCCAACTGCTTGGAAGCGGCCTTATACGAGCTCACTCGATGGCAGAAGCCCCTGGCGACATAGTCCTGGATGAGTTCGTCAAGCACTTCCGCCTTCTACTTGGCCGAGGCGTAGTTGCTCCATCCTTCCAGGGCCCGACGATCCACTTGACTATGCGGAACCAGACCTTTGGCCTCGGTTGCCGGGAAAACCCCGGTAGTGCCAATGGGTTCGCTGATCCCCAGCGGGGCACCATGGTCAAACAGCTTGCGAGCGTAGTGGAGTCTGGGTCGTCGCTTGCGTGGCCCCAGGCTTCTATGACTGAGGCCTGAATGGGTGTGTTGGCAGGCGCCGCGCGGGTTCGATGCCTGACACTGTCTGTGGCCCCGAGCGCTGTAAGGACGGCCGACCTTGTCTTTTCGAGGAGATCGACAGGGTAGTCCTTGGGCTTCCTTCCTTGTAGGATGGCTCGGGCTGGCTCCACAAGCTCTGGCCATTGCTGAAGGCTTTGTAGGAGGATTTTACGCACAACCCTCCCAAGTCGCCTGGACTTCGGGAGCCTTCGCAATGAGAGGCGAGGATTCCTCATGCCCCCCAAGGCTCGCTTGTTCTCAGCCTCCCGCCTGTTACTTTCATCGCAGGCGGGAAGGGCCGCGAACTCAGCAGCCGGGTCCCATCCTCACAGATCTTCCTTTTCAAAGGATTGGAGCCGGTATCCTTGGTAAAGCGCATTGGCCACGACCTGTGAGAGGTGAGGTGTGTACTCACCTCGCTGCTTGGTTGGGGACGCTTTCTCCTTGTGGGCGTTGACTGAATGGTTGCAAGTCAAGCCATGGAGGTCCAGAAAGTTCACGTGGTCCGCGACCAGAAGTTGAGTTGGCCCCCGAGTAGCGTGGCCCAGTCGACAGCGATCGAAGTTTACCGTGACCACTCTGTCGAGCTGAGCCAGCCGCCTTATCAACGGGGCTTCCCACAAGGACGGGTTGTCACCGTCGGCCGCAGGGTTCTCAAGTCCCCAGGTGCGGTGTTGATCCCAAGCGGCTGCGAGGACGTCGTGGGTCCTGTCGGTCAGGACCTTGGCTTCTTTGTCTGGTGCCTTGGCGGGCGTCGAGCACCAGATGACCTCAAAGCTGCCAGCGACGACGTCTTTCTCGATGAAGCCGAAGATGGCCTCATCGATCACATCCGTTCCCTTCTCGGCCTTGAGGTCTACAATGCAAACCATGAAGCCGTAGTGGGCCAGCCAGTTCGGGAGGTCGCCCCCCAAGGCTTCGGCACATTGTTTGTCGCCGGCTTTGCCACCCATGTCCCATATGCCCTAGGACCCTTTACCAGAACGGGGTAACTCGGCAGTGTGTGGCCCAAGGGCGGCACGTGAACCAAACTTCGCCGCAGCCCGGCAGCCTCGGCCGGACCAGCGGTCCAAGAACCGTCGGCTTGGGCCCCGGCTTTGGCGAAGAGGTAGATGTGGTCGGCTCTGGCAGCACTTGCTTCCTCTTCTTCGGCCGGGGCGGAGGTGGTGGCTTGACCTCAGCAGGGACTTCGGGACGGGAGGCCGGCAGCGCCTTTGCCTGAGCAGTCCTGTCGATGAGCTCCTGGTTGGGGTCCGCGTTTGGCTTAGCAGCTACGCTCGCCTTTGTTGCGGCGCCCATGGCCAACTCAGTGTGAGGCGGGTCCCCGGTTCAGGCTTTTGGGCACTCCAGAGCTTGGTGTGGCCCCAAGCAGAGGTTGCACTGGTGACTGCACTTGTCCTTGCAGACACCCTGAGGCTTCTTGTTGCCACACCTGCCCCGGTTGTACCCGTCGCAGATCCGGGCCCCACGCCTGTTGAGGACATAGACGTTACCCTTCTTCTCGCTGAGATCCTCCCCCTCGTACTTCTTCTTCTTGGTCTTCTGCTTTTTGCGAAGAGGGCCGTCGTCACCACCGTCCTGCTGTGGCCTTTTAGTGCCCCCTCCTGAGCCCAGGCCTGAACTCTGCTGCGAAAGCCAAAGCGTGGCAGGAGTGACCAGCTCACGTGTCCAGAACTCTGAGTCCCTCACAGCCGCAGCAAACGCCGCATTCCACGGCCTGGCCCGGGTGTACCCGTACTCTGGCTTGTCGTGGAGGATGCGGCGGAGGCGTTCCATATCTCGCACCTTAGCCTGTTTTCAGCCCGATACACCAGCCACCATGCACTGTCACCGAACTGTGTGACGAAGCTGCGGACGTGTTCGGCATAGGCGTCCAACCGTTCAGCATCTGCAACTTCGAGCAGGAGGAGCGAAGTTCGGAGCACCTTCCAAGCCTCCATCCAGTTGTGGTAGGACGCAGGGCCAGGTTGCTCTCTCTTCGTCCACTCGCCCGTCGCCGCATTTAGCTGGTACGATGTGAACGTTTGTTTCCTCAGCAGCCTCAGTCCATGAGGTCCGAAGAGGCTGAAGTCCGCGTAGGGGGCTGATCCCGAAGCCACCACCTGCTTGACGGAGGCAAGCTGGTCGGCAGAGGGATCAGCCTCCGGCGAAGGAAAATCCCCATACTTGGCCTTGTAGTCAGCGTACAGCTTCTGGACCTCCGTGTTGGCCAACGGGGAAACCTCTGCGTCCAGGGTGCGGTCCAGGACTGCCGAGAGCTTGAGCTTCCTAGCTCCGACTAGGGCTGCCGCGGTTGCTGCCCCAGGGCCCGGGGCCGGGACAACCACAGGTGGCCCAGCAGTTCCCGACTCACGCTGCCCCATGAGGAGAAGGGCCACCCGACGCGTGGACTCAACCCTTGCTGCTTCCACCAAGGTGAGGTCGCGAAGAGGGCCTGGCGTGCCATCTGCAGCAGGTGGGCCCCTGACCTTCAATCCTGTGACCGCCGTATCCCAGGCAGGTCTCGGGATCAAGGCCACCTCTCTCACCCTAACTGGGTCTCCAAGGGCATCTTTTAAGGAGGCCTCTAGACCGCCCGTAACTCCAGCCCATGCGTAGACACCCGCCAGGTTCGTGATGGCCTGTAGCTCTTCAGCCGTGGGGTCCATCACTCTCAAGGACGGGGTTCTACGTAGGGCGCCTTTCCAAGTGGGGTTGCTGAGCCTGCTCTGGGGCTGTCCTGACGGATCGCCGACCACAGCAGATGCTCAAGGCCCACAAGTAAGAGCCCACAGCTAAGAGTGCAACGTCCAGGGTCCGGGGCTCCCAGAACACCTGCAGGAGGCCCTCAAAAGAGGAATCCAACTCGAGTTGTCCAGGAACGACCACCGGGTCCCTACACGCCGCACCCACCTGTTGCTGGACCACCCTAGTAAAACTTCGGGTGTGATCCTTGATGCCAAAATGGCCACAAAGGTACACACACACACACATTCCCACCAACCACGCTGAGCATTTGTCACTTCAACAAAGCAAGCAATGTTTGACATTACACCCTAAACCCCAAACCCTAAACCCTAGAACCCCAAGACCCCCAAACAGTCGGCATCCTCGAAGCCGTTGGCTGTGCGGCGCATGACGCTGCAGGCTCCGAATGGCCCCGGACCAGAAATCGAGCTTAGGAATTTAGAACTTTAGGGGTTTAGGGTTTAGGGTTTAGGGCGTCCAGGTTCGGGTTTAGAAGTTCAGAAGCTTAGAAGCGTCCATGCGCTTGTTGGTCTTGCAGGGGCAAGGACATAGGAGCGTTGAGGGCTTGAAGGGTTTAGGCTTGTCAGGGGGCTGAGGACTTAACATGCTCAGGGAAGTTACATGTTGCCTTGATGTGGTACCTTCTTTCAAGGGCTCCGAAGTATGGGCCCTTGGGTTTTACAGGGCATACACGGGGCACACTAGGTTTCCCCAATTGAGCGCATAGGGTTTAGGGTTTATGTAATTCTTGCAAGTATGTGTCCTGAAACGGCAAAGCAAGGCGCACCATGAACATCTTGAGGTGAGCCCTCATGCCTAAAGGAGTAAGCAGCCCCACCCCCAAGGAATAACCTCAAACACCCTAAACTCCTCAAGATTCCTACTCAAACTACAGATCCCTCCCCCACAGCCCCCCCCCCCCCCCCCCCCCCCCCCCCCCCGCCCCCCGCCCCACTAGAGTGCTCCAAGGCTTAGGATGATTGATATTCCGGATGAAAAATTCCGAGCCTGATCTTGATTTTCCTGCTTTGACTTAAGACCTAAAAGTCTAGACCATGAATTGGTAAATGACACTTCCAATGGCCATGATGGTGATGCTAGTGCTGCTGCTGATGAAGCAACAAGTACCACGATGAACAAATTCGTGTCAGAAGAACCCTAAACCCAAAACACCAAACCCCAAACCCTAAGCCCTAAACCCTAACCCTAAACCCTAGCCCTAAACCCTAAACCCTAAATGCCTGCAGCAAACTGGGGACCGGCACGAAGCCGACCGTGAGGGTGAAGGCCCGGCGAACGCCACGCCGAAGCTTTTGGGGTTTCGGGGTTGGCGTTTAGGGGTTGGCGTTTAGGGTTTAGGGTTTAGGGTTTAGGGTTTAGGGCTTAGGGCTTAAGGCTTAGGGTTTAGGGGTTGGCGATTGGGGTTTCAGGCTTAAGGCTTAGGGTCCGGGGCTTAGCTTTCAGGAATTGTCAGGAATTGGAGGGATGATGAGATGGACAGTTCTCGAAATAGCGATGAGAGCTGTCACTGTGAACGCACATGAGCCAATCAAGTCGCCAAACCGAGCATGTGTATGTGAGGTCCTAAACCCTAAACCCTAAACCCTAAACCCTAAACCCTAAACCCTAAACCCTAAACCCTGAACCCTGAACCCTGAACCCTAAACCCTTTTTTGAGCCCAAGTTGCTACAAGCCCTTGCCTCGCAATGCAGCAGCATGAGCATCTGCCGTTCAGGGTCTAGGGTTTAGGGTTTAGGGTTTAGGGTTTAGGGTTTAGGGTTTAGGGTTCGGAGACTACAGAAAAGTTGGAGGTCAATCCAGCAGCAGGTAGGATCGCTTCAGAAGTGTTTTGTTGAACAACATCCCCAAATCTTACCCCCGGAGCCAAGCCCCTAAATGTAAATCCCGCAGAAAATACTCAACAACAACTTCAACTTGAGTTTGGTCTTCAGTTTGGCCGACCTTAAGCAAAACATTCCTTACAAGGGCTAATGCAGAGGTATGCTAAGCTCTTTTGGTTGCAGGGTGGTCTAAGGGTTCGGGGCTACAAGGACTAAGTCGGTACTTCTGCGGTCAAATGTTCATGTTCTAATTCGGGCTTATGGTCAGTTCTATAACAGCTCCCCCTGTTTCGGGTGCCTCAAACCCGAACCCTAAACCCTAAACCCTGAACCCTAAACCTTAAACATAGAACTTCAGGTCTGGGAAGCTTCAGGGTTCAGGGTTTGTCTAAAACCTAAACCCTACGTCCTACATTGCAATCTCAGATTTTGCTCTGACGGTTGCCTCCCGCTCTGCCCTTTTTTTGTTTTGCCCTGTCTCTCCATGCAAAGCGGCACTGCTGGCTCAGCACTCTTCCCAACGGCCCAACAGACCGCCCTTCTGAACGCATGTTCTCGTTTATAAGGGTTATGGGCTCAACCCTAAACCCTAAACCCTAAACCCTAAACCCTAAACCCTAAAGCCTAAAGCCTAAACCCTAACCCCAAAAGACCCTTGACCTTAAACCCCAAACCATACTCTAAACCTCGGCACATCAGTCCATCAGCCGCACGCATGGTCTCGAAAACAATCCTTCAGCCGGTCTCCTGGCACTTGGGAGGTTGGGGTTTAGGGTTTAGGGTTTAGGGTTTAGGGTTTAGGGTTTAGGGTTTAGGGTTTAGGGTTTAGGGTTTAGGGTTTAGGGCTTAGGGCTTAGGGTTTATTGGGTTTGGGGCAAGTTTAGGGTGTAGGGTGTAGGGCGTACTGCTTCGGACTTTCTAAGAGGGTTGAGGTTTATAACGTGAGTGGTTAGGGGTTTAGGGTTTAGGGTTTAGGGTTTAGGGTTTAGGGCTTAGGGTTCAGTGTCCCTAAGCACCCCAAGACTACCCCAAGCAACCCCAATCAAAGCGGGGCAAGGGGGTCTTTTTTTGCGGGCTAGACGCAAAACCCTGCACCCCTAAACCCTAAACCCTAAACCCTCATAAACCCTAAACCCTCAACCCTAGACCAGGGTTGTGGTTTAGCGTGAGAAGCATCTGACACTACTCCCACGGTTCGGAGAGTTCAGAGGCCGGCGCTATGTTCCGCTATATGCATACCTTTCCCCCAATAAAGCTTACTGGCCCAAAACCCAAGGAAATAAAAGCTGAAACTTTCAGAATAAAGTACCTTATAAGAAGCCGAAAAGTTGAAAAGTTGGGTTTGAGCCAGCAAGTAAAGCGGACCAACACCCTACATCACATAAATTCCAATCCATTCATAACCTGCTGCAGGCGCACGCCTTTAGCAACCCTTCTTACCTCACCTGTGGCTCTCCTCAGGGGTGATATACGGGCAGCCTGCCGATATATTTAGCACAGAGTTGGGAGCAGACCCTGAACTGCTTCTGCTGCCTCATCCTCGTTGAGAGAACTGGGACATGTAGGCCGCTGCCTCAGGTGCGGAGAGGGCTGTCAGGCTTCTTTAACTAGACTGTGGAGACATGGGCGGGGAGGAGGAGGGCGGTAGGGGGGAAGGCGAGGGGGGGGGGGGGGGGGGGGGGGGGAGGGGCAGGGCAGCCCAAACCCTAAACCCTAAACCCTAAACCCTAAACCCTAAACCCTAAACCCTAAACCCTAAACCCTAAACCCTAAACCCTAAACCCTAAACCAAACTCAAACTCTAAACCCCAAGAGCCATGGTGCGGCGGCGCGAAGCCGGGTGTTCAGCGCAATCTTCAGGTCTTTGATCTCCTTGTCGATGTCCTGTTGATGTCTTTTTGGGGATTTAGGGTTTAGGGTTTAGGGTTTAGGGTTTAGAGGCCTAGATAAGGGTTCGGCTTTCTGGGGTTTAGCGGCTTCATGGAGGGTTCGGGGGGGGTGCGCAGGGCCTAAGCCCGAACCCTGGATCCCACCCCGAATCATCCGAATCCCACCCAACCTAAAATTCAGGGTTTAAGTTTAGGGTTTAGGGTTTAGGGTTTAGGGTTTAGGGTTTAGGGTTTAGGGCTTAGGGCTTAGGGTTTAGGGGGTGCGAGGTACTCTGTCCACGGTCAAGGATTCATAGCTCAGGGCCTACAACGAAGGGTCTTCCCAAAGTCCGGCGACCTCCGTGAACTCTAAACCCTAAACCCTAAACCCTAAACCCTAAACCCTAAACCCACCTCCATGAACTCGATAATGAAGTTCACGATCTGCTCCTTCACCATCTCCTGCTGGTCTCAGCCCGCGATAGGCCGGCCCTTCAACCCTCTGAAGTAGGCTCCCACATATGATCCTCTTGAACTACTACTTGCTTAAGAACCCCCCCAAAAAAAGTAAAACTATTGAGAGAAAGTGATCCCTATCTACCCTTCTAAGGAAGAATGAATTTTGCTTTTGGGGGGGGATCAAAACTATCCACGGGCGTTGCTAGAGCACAGGGTAAACGAAACCGAAAGAAACTCTAAGCAGTAACTAACCCAGGAGTTACCAGGAATAAAAGGGTGCCCTTCTTGGTTTGGAGGGGATTATAAGGCACTTGCCCCGACCATCCCCAGAGAATCTCTCCCGGCGTGCCAACCTCAAGAAAAACCCCACAAAATCCCTGGAGGAACCTAAACTAAATCCCCCCCAAAAAAAACAACAAGAGGAATAAGGGCATACTCTGGGTGCTAGGTAAGCTCAACAGGGTTTTGAGTTTAGGGTTTCGGGTTTGGGTGCTGGAGCAGAACGGGCAAGAACGGTTTAGAAGGAATTTAGAGCGAGTAACCTGCATGCCCTGGAAGAAGGTCCGCGTTTCCTTTCCACTTGGGGATCTTTCAAACCTTGTTTACAAGGTGCCCCTAAACCCTAAACCTAAACCCTCAACCCAGCTGCCAGGGTGCCGGGCACTCCATTAGTTCGGAACATGAGGTTATTTGGGGCAGGTCAGGAGCGGGCAACTCTCGAACTCATCGACTATGGGTTTAGGGTTTAGGGTTTAGGGTTTAGGGTTTAGGGTTCAGGGTTTGGGGTTACTTAGTTGCCGAGTTCATAAGCGCCCCCAAAAAAGGTGTGCACTTTCAATTCTATATAGGGGGTTATAGTATCCCAAAAGGTGTCAAGTGTACTCATTCAGCTACTAAGATAGGTTGCTTGAAGGACGGCGATTCAGGGGGGATTCAATGCAAGGTGGTAGTTTAGGGTGTTGGGTTTAGGGTTTAGTTAAGGGTTTAGGAGAAATTTAGGGAGGATTCAAGGTGGTAGTTTAGGCCTTGGGTTCAGCGCTTAACTAGGGTGATTCCCACAGGTGGAATCTGCAGTGCGCCCGAAAAACCCTGTGCATGAAAGAAGCGCTGACGAAGTGCCACACAAACCCCAAAACACCTTGGCTGCACTTAGGAGGGTAGCTATAACTGAATGTTTTAGCTGCCTTACTAGGAAACCCAGTAAACTCAAAAAAGCTAAGGATCTAAAGTTACTGTAAAGCACCGCATGGGGCGATAACACCTCGACCGCCCATAAACCTATTGTCAATCCTAAACACGGTTTGGGGGTTTAGGGTCCAGGGTTTAGGGTTGAGGGCCCAACCTCCAAGTGAGTGTTGGTGATGAGGAAGCTGATGTCGTAGCCTCCCGGAGGGCTCATGTAGGGCAGCAGCTGCCCGCCAGGCCCATGGAGAAAAAAAGTTCTTAAGGGAGGGTTTAGGGTTTAGGGTTTAGGGTTCAGGGTTATACATGGCTCCCCACCTACTCCCTAAGCCTCCCTAAGCTTTCGTAAGTTTCCCTAGATACCTACCCCCCAAAACCCAAAACCAAAAACCCAAAACCCTAAACCGACCCCCTCCATTAAGGACCCCATACTTGAAGGCAGCTGCCGGCACATCGGCTCATAGGAGATAAGCCTCCTGCCTAGGACGAAGGGAACCCTGAACCCTAGAACCTCAAACCCGAAAACCTTGAACCCTAAACCCTGAACCCTAAACCCGAAACCCTAAACCCTAATGGGCGTGATGCGGCACAATTAAACCCTAAGCCCTGGACCCTAATCGGACTCAGGGACTTTGCACAGCTATGTATGTACCAGCGGTTGGCGTTGGCGTTGGCGTTGGCGTTTAGGGTTTAGGGTTTAGGGTTTAGGGTTTAGGGTTTAGGGTTTAGGGTTTAGGGTTTAGGGTTTAGGGTTTAGGGTTTAGGGTTTAGGGTTTAGTTTTAGGGTTTAGGGTTTAGGGTTTAGGGTTTAGGGTTTAGGGTTTAGGGTTTAGGGTTTAGGGTTTAGGGTTTAGGCGGCCTTCGATGGGCTTCCGCCGGAGGATGACGAAATGCTCAGCCCGCTGGGTAAAGAAGCGGGCGAACTTTCGGCACAGCATCTTCCTCAGCAATGGTCTTTGGTGAGGGGGGGGGGGGGGGGGGGGGAGGAGACTTAACTACTAGCTCGTGTAACAGAATATCAGCAGTAGGTGCCTACAAAGCATGAGCTACAAGCCTGAGCATGCCTGACGGGTTGAGCTGTATGGGCCTGGAGGTGTTCAGACGGGTTTGGAGTTTCGGGTCGAAATAGCACCGGTCCTCGATCCTACTGGTAAGAGGCGTTCTTCGGGAGGCATGCGCCAGGGGTGTAGAAAAGAATCTTTGAGGGAAGCGCTTTCATAAACGGCACCCGTCATTCGTTTGTGCGCGCATGATTTTCTTGTGCTTGGGTCTCAGAGCCGCTGAAACTAGACTAGCTCTTGCTCGCTGATTTTAGAGAATGTGTATATGCGCCCCTAAACACATCCATATGCATCTCTCTCTCTCTCTCTATGTATATATATATATATATGAAAGAGCAGCCTTTCGGGTCTATTTAGCTCATTCCTTTTTTTAATAAGTATTTAAACGATTTAAACGATTCAAACGATTTAAACGATTTAATTGAGGCCAATTAAATCGTTTAAATCGCCCAGGCCAATTAACTTATTTAATTCAGGCGTCCGATTTAAGCGATTTAATTGGGTCCAATTAAATCGTGTAAATCGCCCAGGCCAATTAAATAATTTAATCGGCCTGGGCGATTTAAACGATTTAATTGGACTCAAATAAATCGTTTAAATCGCCCAGGTCAATTAAATTGTTTAATTCAGGCGTCCGATTTAAACGATTTAATTGGACCCAATTAAATCGTTTAAGTCGCCCAGGCCAATTAAACTATTTAATTGGCCTGGGCGATTTAAACGATTTAATTGGTTGGTTTAGGGCTTGACTGGGTCTCCCCCCAATTAAATCGATTTAAACGATTTAAACGATTTAATCGATTTAAACGGTTTAATTGAGTCCAATTAAATCGTTTAAATCGCCCAGGCCAATTAAACTATTTAATTCAGGCGTCCGATTTAAACGATTTAATTGGACCCAATTAAATCGTTTAAATCGCCCAGGCCAATTAAACTATTTAATTCAGGCGTCCGATTTAAACGATTTAATTGGTTGGTTTATGGCTTGACTGGGTCTCCCCCCAATTAAATCGATTTAAACGATTTAAACGATTTAATCGATTTAAACGATTTAATTGAGTCCAATTACATCGTTTAAATCGCTCAGGCCAGTTAAACTATTTAATTCAGGCGTCCGATTTAAACGATTTAGTTGGACCCAATTAAATCGTTTAAATCGATTAAATCGTTTAAATCGTTTAAATCGATTTAATTGGGGGGAAACCCAGTCAAGCCATAAACCAACCAATTAAATCGTTTAAATCGCCCAGGCCAATTAAACTATTTAATTCAGGCGTCCGATTTAAACGATTTAATTGGACCCAATTAAATCGTTTAAATCGATTAAATCGTTTAAATCGTTTAAATCGATTTAATTGGGGGGGAAACCCAGTCAAGCCATAAACCAACCAATTAAATCGTTTTAATCGCCCAGACCAATTAAACTATTTAATTCAGGCGTCCGATTTAAACGATTTAATTGGACCCAATTAAATCGTTTAAATCGCCCAGGCCAATTAAACTATTTAATTGGCCTGGGCGATTTAAACGATAAAAAATTGACCAATTAAATCGTTTAAATCGTTTAAATCGTTTAAATCGTTTAAATCTATTTAATTGTGGCGAGACTCCCCCCCCCCCCCCCCCACCCCCTACCGCCACCCCCCCCACCCCTCCCCCCCTCCCCTCCCAACCCCCCCTCCCTCTACACCCCCCATGCCCCCCCTTCCCTCTTATCCTTGAAAACCTGGGTCTGGGCCAGATCAAGGTGGGGCTGGAGGGGCTGGAGGGGCTGGAGGGCTGGAAAGGCTGCTGGAGGGGCTGGAGGGGCTGGAGGGCTGGTTAGGGGCTGGGGCTGGAGGGGCTGGAGGGGCTGGAGGGCTGGAGGGCTGGAGGGGGAGGAGGGAGGAGGGAGGGAGGAGACCCGCCAACCTTTCCCCTTCCCCCCCTACACCAACCCACGCGCCCCCTTCCCACAAAAAAACAACATTCACAATACTACTCGCACCTAATCCATCCTACCCCTCCTCTCACACCCTTTCACTCCAAGCTATAAACCTGAAGTTATCATAACTATGATAACCTCAGCTGCCCCATCATGAGTTATCATAATTATGATAACTTTAACTTCCCCATCATAAGTTATCATAATTATGATAACTTCAACTTCCCGATTTGAATTATCATAATTATGATAACTTTAAGTTCTTAATCTCAGAGTATGATAATTATGATAAGTAACTTTTCATAATTATGATAAGTTATCATAATTATGATAAGTTATCATAAGTTATCATAATTATGATAAGGTATCATATAGGGCGTCCGCCTATTGCGGTTCCCCTTATTTTTTTATAGGTTACATAAATGTTGAGCAAATGTCCTTCAAAATAGAAACAAAAAGGATAATTCAAGTTTTGCTTATCGGGGGATGGTTGTTTGAGATATCTTAGGTAAGGTAGAGTTTTCCGGATGGGTTTTGTTTTGCTTATTGGGGCGTGATGGGGTTACCGTCATTGTCTTATAGGTTTATTTACATGCATATAAATCAAACTCTGAACGCTAGTTATAACCGCAGCAAAAAGTTATAACCTTGTCATACACATATATCCTACTTGCTGGGATTCAACATGTAAGCAAACTATATCGTTAAATGATGGAATTCAGGTTTTGCTTATCGGGGGATGGTTGCTTGAGATATCTTAGCTAAGGTAAAGTCTTTGGGACAGATGTTTTGTTTCGCTTATTGGGGTGTGATGGGCTTCCCCTTATTCTTATGGGTTTACATAAGTGTATAAAAATCAAACCCCAACCCATAGTTATAAGCACAGCAATAAGTTATAACCTTGTCATATAGATATTTCCGCAGAGCTCGTCAAATCCGATCATGATGTAGGCACCCCAACCCTATAGGGTTAAGGTTGACAGGTTTAGGGTTTAAGATTGAAGCATTTTAACCTAAGCCGGCAATTCAACCTAAACCCTAACCTTTAAACCCTATAGAGTTAGGGTTTAAGGAGCTAGGGTTTAAGGCGCAATCCCATATAGCATACATACACTTATGAGCAGAAAAGACACGGGGGACACTGCTTGCGATTCAGAATATTCGGAGCAGAAAAGACACAGGGGACACTGACATTTTTTCTCCGAATATGTGTCACCAGAGTTCTGCTAGCACCAAAGAAATGACATTTTTTCCGCAGAATATGTGTCAGTAGAGCTGTGCGAACACAAAAAGCATGACACATTTTCCGCGGAATATGAGTCAGTAGAGCCGTGCTAACACAAAAAAGCATGACACATTTTCCGCGGAATATGTGTCACCAGAATTCTGTTAGCACCAAAACACAACATTTTTTTCGCAGAATATGTGTCAGTAGAGCTCTGCTAACACAAAAAACATGACACATTTTTCGCGGAATATGTGTCAGCAGAGCCGCGCTAACACAAAAAAGCATGACACATTTTTCGCGGAATATGTGTCACCAGAGTTCTGTTAGCGCCAGAAACATGACACTTTGTTTCCGCAGAATATGTGTCAGTAGAGCTGTGCTAACACAAAAAACATGACACATTTTCCGCGGAATATGTGTCGGTAGAGCCGTGCTAACACAAAAAAAACATGACACATTTTCCGCAGAATATGTGTCACCAAAGTTCTGCTAGCTCCAAAAACATGATAGCTTTTCCGCAGAATAAGTGTCAGTAGAGCTGTGCTAACACAAAAAACATGACACGTTTTCCGCGGAATATGTGTCAGTAGAGCCGTGCTAACACAAACAAGCATGACACATTTTCCTCGGAATATGTGTCACCAGAGTTCTGTTACGGTGACGTTTTTTAAATAAGTGGAGGGCGGCCAACCTGCCACGGCAAGAGAGGTAGTATAAAAGACCAGTTTAAATCCGCATGTTTTCGTATTTGCCACCCCTCCACCTCCCCACCTCCACACCACCCCTCCACCCCTCCTCTCCACCTCCACCCCTCCCCCCCTACCCACCCCTCCACCCCTCCACCCCCCGTTCCACCCGCACGGCGGAGGGGAGCCCCTCCGGGTGAGATTAAAGGATCACAACCAGTTGGAGGATAACAAAACCAAGAAAGTGGTTATTACAACTGAGGAGGCTTGAGAACGCGGATAGCGCAACTAGTCTTGCGTGTTGGTGGATATCGCAACCGTGTCAGTTTTGATGCAGAAGTTACGAATTCTAACTCAATTGTTAAGTTTCCCACATATTTGAACAACAAGTATAGAAATTGTGAGAAGAGGCCACGCAATGGCTTAAATCCAACAATCGTTTTATTCTTAAACCCTTGACATTTAATATGGGAACTACCATTGTGTAATTGAAAACATAAATTATCATTGAGGATATCTTCGGGACTAAAAGTTTCCCGTGTATGTACATAGCAGAGATGCTTTAGTTACACATACTTTAAACTTATATTTAATCAAATAATTTGAAGCTGTATGAAATGTCTTGACTATTGTTCTTCTTCTTACCTTTCACCTCCTTAGCTGCTTCTTCTACTTCATTTATTCTCAACGAGCTTTCTTATCTCTTCGTAAGCATGTTGTTTGACTTTCTTCTCTTCTTCGGTTTCTCTATTTGTTCGTATGTTGTTGCTTTCTTATGAAGCATTATGAATATCAGATCTTTGAATTAAACTGTTGTAAAAATCTCTTCTTCGGTTATAGGTAGATTTCCTGCTTTGTCTTTAGCATTGCCTACATCTTCATAAGAATGATTTTGTAGATGGTCTAATGTTGATTCGTTTGATGTTATACTTCCTTTATCAAACATACTAACGGGGTCTCCTGCTTTTCGTATTCTTAAATTTTGTCCAGGTGTCTTCTGGTCGTTGTCCTGATACAAAAGTAGAACGATAACTACGACTTCTGCAATACATTACGATAATCGTTGTTTGATTGTTGTCCCGATGCTGAACCGAAACTATGACTTATAATATCAGTAATTCCAGTAGTTTTTAACCATCTATTTCAATATAACCGTCTTGAATGAACTTATCTACATCTTTGTAACCCTGACTATAATCACGTCTACCGCTTTTAGTCCCAGCAACGTATAAAATAGAACCATTTTGATGAGCCCCGTCAGGATTCTCATACGCTA